ATATATGAGAGAATTTTTAAGAAGTACTACAGTAAAAGACAAATTACCATTAATCCCCCTAAAAAATATTTTGCCCTCTTCAGACAGACCTCCCATCATCTTACCCACCATTCTTTCTACAGCATTTATGGAAGTCTTTTTTTCTTAAAGTGTCTGTAGGAGGTATGATAAATAAGGGGACCATTGCTACTACCTTACAAAGTCCACATTGTAAGAACATGGTGTGCCTGATCCACCTTATTCCCTGAATCTTGCACTGTCCAACTTCTGGCTTTTTTCATAGTCAAAATGACTGAGGTAGAAAATAAATGTTCTTTTTTTTTTGTCGGGGGTGGGGTAGTTTCTGGGAATCGAATTCAGGACCTTGTGCTTGCTAGGCTGGCGCTGTGCTGCTGAGCTATATCCCCAGCAGAGAGTAAATGTGTTGAATCAGTTCAGGTTATGGGGACAGCCACAACTGCAGCTGTAGACTTTCATGAAAGAGGACTTCAGAACTGCTTCAGACAATGGCAAGAACAATGTGGTGAGTGTGTTCAAGTAAGAGAATTTCAAAGGAGTATTTTGAGGATTAATGGCAAGCTGTCTTTTTTTTTTTTTTTTTTTCATTTAAATGTTCACCATACTTGTCAATCTCACCTCATATACAGAGTAAGAAAGTTATTTCGTAAAGGATTTAACTCCTTTACAGAAAATCTACATTAGGAGAACAGGAATAAATTCTTCAAAGTTAAAATGTCTATAATGGCATCTCTATTAAGCTGTTGCAGCCTTCTGCTGAAGAATTAGTACGAAAAAAGAGAGTACAGATTGGTCATTAGTCTTGTACCATCTTGCCTGTTGGAAAAAAAAAAAATGTCTTGTGTAGATCTTACAATAAAGATGAATTAATTTCTTTAATTACATGTTGGTGCCTTGTAATCTGTGTTGAGACTATTTAAGTATTAGTATTTACAGTCTCTATAAGTCATGCTTCTGTGTTCAATAACTTAAAAGGAAACAAAGTCATTCCTTTTCTTTTATAAATGTATAACCAAAGATCAAGCATGACCTTTCCTCTATTTGGGATAACCAAAGGTAATGACTAGCCCTCACGTGTATTCCTCAGATGTCATTGAGGGAGGAGACCACCTCCTGGGGTAATGCTGGGCAGCTGTGAGTTAGCTGTACAGCTGAGCACCCTGAGAAAGTTGGTGGTTATTGCCCCACTATGTATGGGGACAGGTATAACGTAGGGTCAGCAGAGTTTATGGCGCTGGAAAGTCCTGCCACACCCCAGCCGATGCTCTGCTTCTGTCCTGTAATTTCACTTGCTGTTGCCCCACAGTGACAGATTTCACTGTAGAAAAACAGTGTAGGAGGAAAGCAAAGCCTTGCTTGGTGCTGTTGGGAGGACACAGCCCCCTATGGAGGCGCCGTCTTCAGTAAAGCCCCCCTTTTCTGATTTGTTCTGGCTGGGATCCTCTTCATTTTCCTGCTCCATGGTCATTCTGTGAATTTACAAGTTCGTGCCTTTCAGGTGTCTCCCAGTTTCCACCTTCATGAACTGAAGTGCTTTTCCACAGCACTGTAGTGCCCATCTAGAGAAACAAACTCAGTTTCTGTCCTGGTACCTCCTACACACACACACACACACACACACACACACACACACACACTTCTTACCACCCAAATCTTCAAAGTCACAACCCTGACAACCTTGGAATCAAGACTCCTCTTCAAAAAAAAAAAAAGAAAAAGAAAGAAAAACCTAAAACAGAAAACTGTATTATTCACATAATACGGAAAAAAGTGTTTTGGTCAAATACCATTCTGACAGCTGGGCACAGTGATTTATGCCAGTAATCCCAGCACTTGGGAGGCTGAGGTAGGAGTGCCATGAGTTTGAAGCCAAGCTGGATTACATACTGAGTTCAAGGCCAGCCTAAGCTGCAGAGAGAAACCCATTTCAAAAAAAAAAAAAAAAAAAAATTCCTCACAGTTCTTTAGACTATAGCTTCATCCTAATAACATTTTTGATATCACAAGTGTGGGTGCTTTTTATGCCATAAATACATATCAAATGTAAATATTTCCTAATATTTTAAAGTACATACCTCTTTGTCATTTAAAACCCCCTAGAAGTTTTGGGGATGTGGTCCCCCTTCTACTTTGCCAGCCACGTCTTGCTGTTGGTCTTCCCTTTGCACTTTACCTCCACAAAGGCTGAAGTTCTGGCAGTTTCCTGATGTCCTGGTTGTTTCATTCTCTGTTTCCCTGCTCAGACCAGCCCAACTCGCACCCTGACGAATCATTGCGTGGGCTTCACGTTACCTGAAAGCACTTCTGTGTCATCGCTATTTCTGTTGTGGATTTCACATTCAAGACTGCTGACGTTTGATCTCATAGCCTACATCTTCTCTGTTTTGCCTATGCTTGGCATTGAACCAGACCTCAAAAAAGTATTGCTTTAGCTTAATGCTAAACTTTAAAAGATTTTAATTCAAATCATGGAAAAGACCCCAAGAAGTGATTCTAATTTCTAAAAGACTTCAATTAGCTGTGTTTCACTGGTCTAGGAAAAGACGCTGGAACTGGTCAGGCCTAGAGCTGCCTGGTTAAGAAGAGAACGGTGGGTGAACCCAGATTCACAGTTCTAGAGCTGTACATACTGTGTGCCTCACCTGCCATGTGTTAGCACATATTAACCTGTGATGGGTTGTGTTTGTTGAATTACTTCTAGAATTCATGAACTTCAAAGGCTGCATAATTAGAACTGGATTTGTATTGTAAATAATCCAAAAGAAAGAAAATACTATATTCATGATATCCCAATAAATGTTTTCATTTAGAGCAACAAAAAATTGTGAACTTGTTTTTGAGACAGAGTCTTACTATGATATCATATAGTTTAAGATGGCCTTGACTTCGAGGTCTTCCTGTATATCCTGCTGGAGACAATAAAAATGATTCAGTACATTATAGCACATCAGTTTAAAGGACTTTCTCTACTGAGAAATTTTGCGATTATAATTATATTGAGAAAAATTACATTTAAAAATCTTGGAGTCGTGCCTGGTGCCACATTTCTATAATCCTAGCACTCAGAAGGCAGAGGCAGGAGGATCATTGAGAGTTCAAGGCCAGCCGAGGCTACAAAGTTCATTCAAGGCCCACCTGAGCTACATAGCAAGATCCTGTCTCAAAAAGACAATTAAAAAAAAAAAAAATTGTGAACCCAGATTCACAATTTCCAAGGCACAGAAAGACAAAACCTAAATGTTGTTACTCATGCATGGAAACTAAAAAGGTTTATTTCACTGAGGTAGACTAGTTACCACCAGAGGGTAGGAAGGAGGGAGGGAAGACAGAAGCTGAATGACCAGTAAAATACCGTCATACATGAGGAGAAAGCCCTAGTTGTTTCCAACACAATACAGTTGGTAACAGTTTGTACTTCATTTTGTTGTTTTTCAAGCTAGGGTTTTGCTATATAATTCAGACCAACATTGAGTTCACAGTGATCTTCCTGCCTCGGCCTCCCCAGTGCTGGGATTATAAACATGTGTCACCATACCCAACCAGTTTATAACAATTGATCATGTTATAAAGCAGAAGAGAGGGCTGGCCAAATACCTCAGCGAATAAAGCATCTCCGTAGGCATATGCAGGGGCTGGGAGTTCGATCCCCTGGCCTGCTGTGCCAGTGCCCGGCCCCGCCCCAGGGCCACTCTGAGTCAGCAATTGAGACTGGGCGTGGTGGCACACGCCTGTAATCCCAGCACTTGGGAGGCTTTAAACAGGAGGATCACTATGAGTCTGATCTCCACAGTGAGGTCTTGTACACCCTGTCCTAAATACATAAATAAATAAAGCAGAAGAGAAAAATTTGAGAATTCCTGATGCCAAGTAATGGTAAATGTTTAAGGCGATAGAAATGCTAATTTCTTGGGTGGGGGAAGTGCAAGATCCTGCTTTGATCTCCAGTACAAAGAAAAAACCAAGAAATGCTAATTTCTTGAATGATCATTACACATTGTATGCATGTATGAAATTATCTCTTTTTATCTCCAAAATATATTCAGTTTTCAATGAAAAAAATAAAGCCAGATAGCCATATCTGAGGGAATAAGCAGTTAGGAAGAAAAAAAATACACAGCTCATTGAATGAGCTTTACCATTATTCCTTTATGGAACTCTATAAACAAGTACGTAGTTCAGTAGTAAAGCACTTGCCTCTCACGAGTAAGACCCTCATAAGAGCCTACGTTATAAGGGTACAATAAAGTGAAAGCAATATAGAGGAAAAAAAGAGCCAGGTCAGTGGCATAAGTGCCTGCCTGGAAGCACAGGGTCCTGAGTTTGATCCCTGGTACTACAAAAAAAAAAAAAAAAAAAAAGCAGAGACTGGGTGTGATAGCACATGCCTGTAATCCTAGCGCTGGGAGATTCAGAACAGGAGGATCAGTACGAGGCCAAAGCTGCCTAGTGAGACCCTGTACCAAATACACTTTTTTTTTTGGCAGAACAGGGGATTGAACTCAAGGCCCCTGCGCTTGCCAGGGAAGCGCTTATTCCACTGAGCCATCTCCCCGGCCCCTACCAAATACATTTATTTATTTATTTATTTTTACCTTCAATGCTTTTATTTTTTTTTTTCCAAATTTTATTGTTAAACAGCAGTGAGACAGTTTCAAATCAAATCGGAAGTACAGTTTCAACAAATAACACCCTGCATATATTCTTCTTAGTGGTTAATTGCTGTACAAGATGCGGACTTGAGATCCTATTTACAAACACCATTAGAACAAATCGTTCTATTCATTAAGCGAATGCAATTATATATCTATCCTAACCACTTTGAATACATAGATACAAAATGGACATTCATCGATATACCCTATTTTTTCGAAGTTCCGTTATTGAATATTATAGGTGTGTAAACTCAGCAAAATATTCAAAAAGAGTCCAGTAGCCCATAATAGCAATGGGTCTTCTGTTTAACTGGCAATGTCAGAAATTACCTGAGTCCCCGACAGCTCAACATAACAGCATGGCTTTACTTCCTATATTTCGTCTTTCAAATACATTTAAAAAAAAAAAAATGGGAAGAAACACATCAAAATCCTATAGTTCATTGCATTAAGAGGTAAGAAATAAGTAGGGCTGGTGAGATAGCTCAGTGGTCTAAAGCACCTACTTAGAACAAGCTAAGCCAAGCAAAGCACAGGGACCGCGGTTCAATCCCCCAGCACCACATGCCAGCCGGTCCCGCCCCCTGGTGGGCTGAGCTGGCCACACACAAAAAATAAATAAATAAATAAATAAAAAATAAATATTTTTAAAAAGAAGTAAGAAATAAGTAGATAGGGAAAAACAAAGAACAGGTAGAGTTCTTCTGTTTTTCTTTCCCAGATTTTTGGATATGAGCTCTGAAGTTCCCAATAAAAAAAAAAGCCAGGGAGATAGCTCAGCAACATAAGTACCTGTCTGACAAGCACAAGGTCCCGAGTTCAATCCCTGTTACCGAGAGAAAGAGAGAGAGATTGATTCATTGCTCCTGGGCAATGGTCACTCTTGTGTTTCCCCTCTGGTATCACAGTCAGGACAGCCAGGACTCCTGTTTTTTTTCAGTTCCAGAGTCCCTGAGGCAGGTTCCCACTGTTTTAAAGAAATCCCGGCCAGCCCATGAGTCAGCAGCAGGCTGGTTCTTTCATCTCCTTAAGTGTAGCTTTCCCATTCCGGCCCAGAGGTGCAATCCAAGTGCCATAGCTGCATCATATCTGAAGTAATAATGGTGCGAAAAGGAGGAACGCCGTAGAGTTGATGGTTTCTGTGACTTTAACTGTCCCAAGATTGCTGCAGTGGTCAAAAGAACCAATTTTCCTATCCAGTCTCTGGGTTTTCACTTATTCTGCTCCTTGGTAGGTCACACTGTCTTAGTTACTTTTTACTCATTGCTAGGACAAAATATCTGGTGCCCCAAATTAAGGAAGGAAAGATTTGTTTAGTGTACAGTTAGTGGAGGCTTTAGTCCCTGCTTGGCTGGTTCCAAGGCTGTGGCACAAGGCAGAAGGTAGCGATTCATGGCGGTGGAAAATAGCAAAGAGCAGAGCAAGGAGCAGCAGCTGCAGCATTTATCAAGCCTCACTCCCTTCCTTCCACGCTGACTTTGAGGACCTGCAGCTCCTCCAAGGAAGTGGCCTGCAGAATCCTTGCTCAGCCCCTCCGTATACCCTTTTTGTTCAGAGTCACTCTAGGGCGGGCCTTCCCTTCCCCTCCCCTCTCCTCCTCTCCCCTCCTCTCCCCTCCGTTCCCCTCCCCAGGGCATGCATGGAGTCACTGAACAGATTCAGCCAAGCTTCTGACCCCTCAAGTTGACAGTGTATCAACCACCACACACACTTTGTCTTCTAAGATCTCCAGGGCCTCTGCTATATTCCAGTTGTTGCCTGGGTGCTGGAGCAGAAGCAGTGCTTGGTGCTGCAGAGAAGTATCATTGTGACCAGCCTTGCTTCCTCTGACACCAAGCACTCTTCCAAGTCCCTGTTTTCTTTGTTCCTTTTCTTGGTAATTTGTTCTGTCATTCATCTAACTTACTGCTCAGAAACCTGGGACTTGCTCCTGGGTTTCTCCTTTTCCTCAGCTAGTCACCAGATTCTGCTGCATGCTGCCATAATTCTGCTGAACAGCCTCCAAACACAGCCGTCTGATTCGTCTGGGACACTCATGCTATGTTTTGTATTATGGCCAAACCCGATCATATCACTCCCTAGTTTAACATCTTGGAGGCCAGATGCAGTGGTGCATCTCTTGGGATCTTAGCTACTTAGGAAGCTGAACTAGTAGGACCACGGGTTTGAGACCAGCCTGGGCAACTTAGTAGCATCCTGTCTCAACAATGAAGAAGGCTGGGTGAAGACTTGGCTTCCATCCCTAGTACTACAAAATAAACACAAGTCTACCTCAGAGAGCACATCAGGAGTTCAAACCAGTTAGTTTATTCCTGAGGTTTTGCCTAGATCTGTGCAGCCACCTGCCTCTCCTCTTGCATTGGCCTTAATTTCATCATCTGTAAAATGGGGATAATAAATAAAATAAAATAAAATAAAATAAAATGGGGATAATAATCAGTATTTACTTCGTATAGTTGTGATAAGGCCCTTTAAAACTGTATTGTGCCTCCTTGCTTTTGCATACAGTGTTCCCTTGTCTACAATACTCTTCTTCTTTTTTTAAACAATACTCTTTCCAGCTAGAATGTTTCGTTTTGTTTTGAGCCAGGGTCTCACTGTGGAGTTCAGGCTAGCCTCAAATTCACAGTGATCCTCCTGCCTCAGCCTCCTGAGTGCTGGATTTACTGGCATGCACCACCACACTCAGCTTTGACATAATCAGTATTGAAGTGTTAAGAACCTGCCTGAAGTGAGCTCTCGCTTCCTGTGCACGGCCCACTGGTGCACTCTTTACGTGGGGGATGATGCCTGTCCATCTCTTTTTGTCTCCAGCCCATCTGGGCATGATTGGCATTGGCCAAAGCTAGTTGGGTGATGTGCAAATCATTCACCGTCTCCAAATCTCCCATTTCTCTTGAGGTTGGCCCAGGTGGTCCCTTCAATTTCAAAATGACCATCTTCTGGGAAGAAAAACTGCAAGATAATCTAGAAAATAAGAGAATATATTCTTAAATAGGATGTGTCTCCTACTACTCTCCCTTTTCTTCTAGAGGTCATTTGTTTCTGAAGTTGTTGACAAGGACTGTGCCCTCCCCAACCCCAGCTGGAGCAAGGACTTACGACTTCTCTTCGACCAGTTCATGAAGAAATGTGAAGAGGGCTCGTGGAAGCGTTTGCCTTCATACAAACGGACCTTAACTCAGCATTTTAAAGACTTCAGAACCCATTATGTTGGTAGGAACAGCTGCTTTTCCCATCAATATTTGATCATCAAATATAAAACTAAGAGCAGGTTAAAGTACTGTTTATTACTTGCAAAGGAGTATAGTACAAAAAGATTTCTGTAGCCTGTGGTTTTATAGGCCAGAAATCTCAGTAGATTTTGCTGATTTTCCGGAGAATGTAAAGCCTGTTGTCAAGAATAAGGGCCAGGGAGATGGCTCAGTGGAATAAGCGCTTCCCTGGCAAGTGGAAGGGCCTGAGTTCAATCCCTGGTTCCGCAAAAAAAAAAAAAAAAAGAATAAGATCCCGCTGCCCCAGCCCTCAGCACTCTCATCGCTTGAACAGAAATGCAGAGGAGGCCCAGAGCCCTGCCCATGTCCCCTCTCTGTCTGGAGACTGTCATCACCAATCATAGCTTGCCTTTGTCCCAGTACCTGGTTCCATCACCCGAAGAAGCTCAGAACACTGAAGTCACCCCACACATTTTAGCTCTAAAAAAACCCCAAAGGCAACCCATCCTACACACGCACATGCACACGCACACACACACACTGTTAGGGTACTGCCATGTTATTGTTCCTTCTATATTTGCCTTCAGTAATACTATTCAGTCTCAGGCCTCAGAGCCTATCCAAAAGCCAGTAGTTTCTTAATTTGATGGTAAAATACCGCTATTTCTATGTTGATATTCTGGTTCCACAATTTAAAGCCATGTGACCTTGGGTAAGGATCTTTACCTTTATTTATTTATTTATTTATTTATTTGTATTTAGGGGAGGGTTTACAGGTTGTTCAGGGTGTCACTACATAGATCAGACTCGTAGTGATTCTCCTGTTTACAGCCTCCCAAGTGCTGGGATCACAGGCGTGTGCTACCATGCCCAGCCTCAATCACTGTCCCAGCGCTCCCGGGGGCGGGGCTGGCACGGCACACTGGGGATTGAACCCTGGCTGCTGCGTTCTGCCTAAGCAGGCGCTTTAGTCCACTGAGCTGTCAGGCCCACCTGGATCTTTACATTTTGATACCTCAGACTCCCTACTAAAAGAGCAATCCAAACAGACAAACTACTTTCACTGGGTGGCTCAAAGAAAGAGAAAGGGCATTTATTTATTTGGTACAGAGAGTTTCAGGGCCAGCATGGCATGTGGTACCAGGGATCAAACTCGGGTCCTTGTGCTTGCGAGGCAGGTGCTTAGATAGTTGAGCTATCTCCCCAGCCCTGGCTGACCCTTCTTATGTGTCTTGTTCAGTATAGAACTACGACTTGTTCTATATGTAAATGAAAGGAAAATTTGTATTTTTATTTTATTTTACTTTATGTATTTAGTAGGGTCTCACTACACAGGTTGGACTCATAGTGATCCTTCTGTTTTCAGCTTCCCAAGTGCTAGCATTACAGACCCGTGCCACCATGCCCAGTCTCAGTTGCTGCAGCACCCCGGCTGTGGGGCTGGCAAGGCTTATGGCACGGGGGATTGAACACCCGCCCATGTGTCTGCCTACGCAGGCACTTCAGTCCCCTGAGCTATTTGGCTGGCCCAGAAAAATTAATTTGTATTTTTAGTTATTAAAATCAAGTGATCAAATTTATTAAATTACTTAAAATTAACTTTTTTAGGGCTGGAGCTATAGCTCAGTAGTAGAACGTTTGCCTCCCACTCATAAAGCTCTGGATTCTATCTCTAGAGCTACAAAAAAAATCTGTTAAATTTGTTAAATTAAAAATTTACAAGTAAGGTAAAATCTAATTGATTTGTAATATTTATTCCATTCTACTACCACATTACACAATGAATTAAAAGTCCTTACCTTAATGCAGTCTGGTTTCTACTTGATCAGCCCTCCTGAAATGTCTTCATGGAAGGTACTACTGACTTAAGTGCTGAACTCAGCTGGGAATGTTCCTTTTGTAGTGTTACAGTGATCCCCTAACTTCTTCTGCTCCTCCAAGCCCTCCTTACTTCCACCTGTCTGGGTGGCTCAAAATGCAAATCTGAGCTAGTCATGGCAGTTCATACCTGTAATTCTAGCATTCTGGGAGGCTGAGGCAGGAGTAATGGCCATTTCCAGCCCAGCCTAAGCAACTTAGTGATTTACCAAGATCCTGTTTCCAGAGGTGGAAAAAAAACCCCAAACCATCAAAAAACCTGGGAATATGGGCCAGGGAGATGGTTCAGTGGAATAAGCGCTTCCCTGACAAGTGCAAGGCCCTGAGTTCAATCCCTGGTTCCACAAAAAATCTGGGAATGTAAACTCAGTGAAGACCCTGGGTTTAATCCCTAGTCCATGTCTCACATACT